TTTGCATTGTGTCTTGTAGGGAGACCAATTAAGACATAGAGAGCGGTGCAAAACTTCAAGTGGCTGCAGTCAGTTGTCCGAGACTTCAGAAATCATGAGTGTTTTTTCAGAAACACAGCAAAGTAAAGAACAGAAAGAGGTGGGCATAATTTCTATTTTTGTGAATACGCTGTACATGAGAATTGTTCCAGCAGTTCTCTCATTCAGCAGTAGCAGCTCCAATCATTGTGGAGGAAAGTCCATCTCTTGAATGTATATAGTATTTAGAAAGTGGAAGACTATGTCTCACAAACATCCATGGCTACCAGTATAACTTAATATATAATTTAATAAAGAGTGAGTCAAAAGGAATTACTGAAGAAACATGCTTCCTTGAAAGGTATCTATAACATCCTATTCATTTTTATAGATAACTGCTTTTGCTGTCAACTTTGGATGAAAACGTTTTTTCTCTTGAAATGATTCCCCAAAACAATTTTTATTTAAAATATTATTTTATTCTAAAACAATACATTTCCATTTACTTTTACAGGTGTGTAGGTTACTTACCAGTGACTACAGTGCATTGACGTACCGAGGCTGTGCGTTTCTTTCTGACAACTTTTCCCCTCTTAAAGGGATGTGGTCTGTATCTCTGCAAAAGAAAAGGAAATTGAAATGGAACTTATCAAATAAGAGCCATGGAATCAAATCATAGGGAAGAACTCAATCATATGTAGCTTTATTTTGTCAGTTCAGTGCCATTTAGGTGATTTTATGCGCAACAGATATTTTTTCAATTTATTTTAAATTTAGTAACTTCTTTGTAGAAAACTGAGTAAATTCTCTTCTTTGTTCTTGTCCTGTGCAGAAACTTGATGTTGAGAGTTATTCTGAAGCCAGCACTGTGGATCCGGTTATTCATATGGATATGATTTTCCAGACTAAAAAGCCACAGATACCTAAGGACTGTTTTGGAGAATGTAAGAATCTGTTATTTATCAGTGAGAACAAAGAAGACTGTCTGGTTCAGTCTTACATTAAGATATCAGAGTGAGGGTGTCTATTTAAGAGCTAAAACAATTAGAGCCCTTCTGAAGGGACAGCTGGAGGTCAGCCAGGGTATTTGTCTGGACACCTAGGATCTTAAATGGCAATTGAGTCCTATGTTTAGGCAACTGAAAGTGTCTGAACTCCCAATGTAATGCATGAATATGCAGTCAATACAGCTCCTGGAATTGAGAGGACCATGCACTTCATCATAAAGCAGACACCTACATTTGTTCACCTAAATGTCTCCTTAGACTTCATTGACTTTAATGGTTCAAGTAAAGTGTGTATCTGGTGGAAGACAGTGAACAGAGAATTTAGTGTCTTTGCAGGGCTAACAAGTGATATAATGAGTAAAAATAATAATCCACTAAAGTATCACAAATGTAATATTTATTTTCAAAACAAAAAGAATAAATGTAGAGAAGAAAACTAGGAAGTTTTGCAAAGAAGGGTAATACAATCCCTGCAGAAGGGCATGTGCACACAAAAGCTTCTCTAAGCTAAGTGAATTGGTCTGTTAAAATAAATTTCTTTTGCCTGCAAATTATGTCTTTTCTCTCCCCTCAGAATATTTCAGCCACAGCAACACTACCACTTGGGTCCAACAGCACATACCTCATACACACCACAGAAACTCATTTTAAGATTGCTTATTATTTTAAACATTCTGTGGCCCCACATTTTCCATGTAACCAATGTGGTGTTCTTTTTCTTCTCAGGTTGTGTCCAATGTTTTCCGTGTTGTGTAGTGGATATCACTAAGTTTCCAGGAAGCACTTGGTGGAAATTTAGAAAAACGTGCTACAGCATTGTTAAACATAGCTGGTTTGAAAATTTTATCATTTTTGTGATAATATTGAGCAGTGCAGCACTGGTAAATTTAATTTAAATGTCTCAAATGTTGAACTGAGGGGTATAAGTAAAGGCAAATAATCATATTGTTCTATTTTATTTATTTCTTCTCTCTCTCTCTTTCACATTCCTTTCCCAAAGGATAGATAAACTTATCCCTTACAAGTTGTAAGGCTTTCCCCAGTTGGAGAAGTAGCAAGATATTTAAATATAAATTACTGGCTTCTTGATATTTCTTTGTGGAACTACTTTGTGTACTTAATAAAAATGCTAACACAGAGTCTGAAATTACTTAGGAAAACTAAGAAAAATAGATGTACCTCCAAATTTATAAAATAGGTTAACTACTCAATAAAAACAGATTTAAGATTGTTTGAGATTATCAGAACCTGGAACGGAAGATGTCTGAAAACTGTCAGGGTAACTTAATTTTTAATTACAACTCTGATTATATCTATTTTTACTGAAGAATAAGAGAATTTTTATTTGATATGCAAACATATTAACTAAGTCTAATGAATGTAATTTCTGTAATAAAATATTATGTAGTATAGAAGAAATATAACCAACTAGTTTGAAACTTATGTATATGGTAGATATGACAGTTTTCCAGATAAAATCTGAATGAATGCATAAATAGAATGAATGCAGAGAAAATGACATAGTGAGTGCTTAGAGTGAGGGAATAATTTAGCAATTAGAAGTTTGAAAGAGCATCCTTAATAATGAATGGATAAGTTGATTAATGGATCTAGATCAAGATAACAAGACTCATGAGTTGCCAAGGTTAAGCAGAGAAAAAGACAATGCTAATTTTCAAACTTTCCCAGAATAAAAAGGAAATGGTAAATAGAATTTGTATGTGAATGCAGTAGTTCTCAATTTCCTATTGCTGAATTACCAGTTCTGTGAATATAATGACAATTTTGTTCTGAAGACATTTATCTTGTAGTGCAGTTCAATGGCCGTTGCTTCAAAGACCACATAGCTCCAGAAATGGTATTATGGCTTTCTTATAATGCAAAGCACGCGTGCAAAGGCTGGTAACTCGGTGCAGGAATGTCTTTGCTCTCTGTTTTGTTAATAGGAGTATAAATCAGAAGCACAGCAGGGATTTTATGTGTGTGTTTATTACGTAAAGTCTCACGAGATCTAAACACCTGCTTATGCTCCAACTCCCTTTTATCAGTGACCGATTAGATTGGGTTTAGCACATCATAGATTCAGAACAAATCTGGTCTGCTATAATGCCTAAATCTTCTTCCAAAGCACCACAGCAAGCCTAAGTATGTGCCTTTTGACCAACTTAAAAAAGAGACTGGTTATTTCGCAGTTTAGTTTTCAGCTTCTAAATATAAAACTTAAGTGGAAGTTGTTATAATAAACCAAACTGTATGTTTTTGTACCATTTGAAAATAATATACTCCCAAACTACTTAACTGTAGTAGTAACTGAATTCTGAAATTCCAGGCATTTGAAGATATTTACCTTGAAGAAAGAAAAAAAGTTAAAATGGTCCTAGAATATGCAGATAAAATATTTACTTACATCTTTTTTATGGAGATGCTTCTGAAATGGGTGGCTT